ACATACCCCTCCTTTCTTCTTTAGCTACGGTAAATCAGTAACAAATGTAAAAGCAACCAGAAGATAGCTGACTCTTGTGTTAAAAACACACATGCATTTAAGTTTTCCTTTTATTGTTACTAATTTGCTGCCAAATATTTACCTGTCAGAGAAATCCCTACCTGAAAACTACTACGTGCACCCTCTGCATTCCTGTATACCTGAGCTCAGTGAGGTCCTTCAAAGCAGCAATAAACACAGAGCAAGCTTTCAAGTGCATCCCTGAGAAGCCAAGAAACAAAAAGCCCATTTTACAGATGGGTAAGCAGGTAGAGAGAAGAGCTACAGGCAAGCTGCGGCTGCACCGGCAGACACCCAGTAAAGGCAGTCGAGCAGGTAACTACCATCAGCATGGAGAGAACATGGGTGAAATGCTACAGGTGTACACAGGGCGCAACGGTTCCTGTGTTTGCATCAAACATCGACCAAGGATCTGCATCGCTGCAGTCTCTGCAGCAGAAAGGCTTCTGGATATGGAGGGTAAAGCAAAGCCTTCTTTCTTCCCTCTCTGAATCTCTCTATAGCCTCTCAGGGAGAGAATGTGGGCATATTGATTTTTATTAGCACGTAAATCCATGTATTCCTGAGCTCTCCGGGCTTCCATCTAGGGATTCCCTATTCTCCCCCACACCAGGAAGACTATGGAATAGCATCACAAGTCCGGTTAGAAACCAATGGCTTTTCCCCGGGGTGCTGGTGGCTGAGCAGGGCTCCTGATGCGCGCTCAGCGGGGCCAGGCTCAGCACAGGCTGCCTGGGCCCTCTCGTGGCTCTTTGCAGCCAACGCAAAGGACTTTTCCTTTCTTCTCCTCCCCTTCAGAGAGCTCCAAGCCTCGTGTGCTTTGGGTTTGGGCCCCCCAGATCTCAACTACTCTCGCTGGAAACCACAACACTTGGGTTCGGATCCAAGTTTCCTTAGGATTCACGGGGACTTGGATTTTCTCTTCTTCAAGCTAATCATGGATAAAAGACTACTTCAACTTCTTTCCCTATCAAAAGAGTTCAACATTTTAAAGCTCCATTCTCTCAGGATGGCTGTGATTTGGTTTCTTTACAGATGGGGGCTCTAATGTCCTCCAAAGAGCCCAGGGGCTCTGCAGGCAGAAATGCATATTCCCATGGGTAACAGATGCACCTTATACAATCCCTTCAATTGGCTTTTTTGATAATGGGACTAAAAGCAGATGAAGCATAAATCTTCTACATGACAGAAATTGCTTGCAGTTATTCTATAGGGCAGGTAATTCAGAGCGAGGGCTAAGGATAAAACCCGACCAAGCAAACACAAACCCTAGACCTAGCTAAAAAAAAAACCCCAAAGAAATTACAAATAAGCAGGTGGGTTTCAGTGATAACGCACCAGAAAAGTCTACAAACAAACAGAGGCTGCCAAAAACATCATCGGGAGACCAAATTGTTTAGTCAGTGTTAATGGAAGGTAGGATACAATGGCAAACATATGAAGAAATAGATCAGATTAAGTGAGCAATTACAGAGATAAAGATTGTAAAATGCTAGTTCTTTCACACCTGCAATAATCCCTTGGGTTTAGCACCATCTTAAATCGTCGTTAAAACGCTTGCCGTGCATTTTGCATAAGGAACGTTTCAATCAGACTTTGAATGGAATGGCGTGAAAGCAAAGGGTAAGAAAATTCACCTGAAGCTGACACACGGTTTATGGCCAGGATACCACGCTGTGTTGTCGGGAAGGGAAATTGCTTACCCCAGAGCAGCAGCTGAGCAAGAAAAAGGTGTATCTCCCCACAAAACATGGACTGCTCTTGGAGCATTTCTGGCAAGGTGAAGGAGCAGGCTACTCTCTCCCTAACTGCCACTGTTATGTTATTATAACCAAACCATTATTGTTCATACCAGCTAAATCTTGATGGGAAATAATTTCTTAATTAGGTAAGACAAAGACTTCCATTGTAAGCAGTACAAACCAGTATCTTCTGAACCTGACAAGATGCTCTAGAACAGCATCGTGGCCACTCAGATATTATAGCTACATGAGCCACTTGCATTTGAACTTGATTGATTCTTGCCCTTTTTTTCTGCCTAATCTCTTTTGTTAGAATGATGCAAATGGTTGTGTGTTATTTTAGTGCATCATAGAAGCTGATTCAATTAAGATACTGAGGCATCACAGATTTAATTTGTATAATCTGCTAGTATTAACTTGCTGAAGGTCTGTTTCTGACCTTGGTTTCCAAATGCCAAGAGAAAGGCAATGTCCAGTAGTAAGAAACACATACCTCACTGCACACCAACTCCGATGAGTATTTAACAGCCACCGAGCTTGCGACTGAAACTTGTGAGGTTCGTTAAAAACCCCAAACAAAAGAAGCCCCAACCCGCAGCACTGCTGCAGTGCAGTGGTACTCAGTGCCACCAGTACACAAACCTGCCTGCAGCTCAGGTGCAGGCTTTGGCTTAGGCTCTCGTCCCACTCTCAGATGCTAATCTTGGGAACAGTCTTATTCTCAATAGCAGGCACTAGTGGTAAAGGAAATGGTTAAACATTTTAACAGAGCCTTTCCTATCCAATGCTATTGGAAGGAGTCTCATTTTTATTTCAAAGTGCAAAAAACCCATCTGTTGCATACAAACGCCATCAACAGCAACATACGTGGAGCAGCCAGCTCCTGGACACACTGGCAGGATCAGGACATGCTGAAGGCACACTTCTTTTGGTTTAAGAATCACTCTTGGAGCCAGTTACTCCAGTGTGCAACTCCAGCGTGCTTCAGGATAAGCGAACAACTTCCAAATCTGATTTAACAATTAAGAAAGGAAAAGGAAAAGCAAACCATGAGTCTGTCCTGGTTAAACAGTTCCGAGGAAGCAGCTACATTCAGGCAGACGGCAGCTCACCCCCTGTCCTGCACTGAAGCTGGTACCTGCAGCTTCATTCCCGCTGGCCAGAGGGACACTGAGGCCAAAGCAGCAATTCTGCGTGATGAAGCAGGACTGAATTCAACACATGCATTTAGGCCCTCCCTTCCCCATCACCATGATATATGCTAAGAAAAGGGAGACAGTTCATCTTGGCACAGTTACTAGACTCCATGAATAAAGAAGCTTTTTGTTAAATATTAAAAATAAAATGACATCCTGCTCTCTGCTCTACTTCAGATTTGAGTGAAGATAAATCCCAAGGTACTCAAGACCATTGCACAGAACTCCTGGCTTTCCAGTACTTTTTCCCCCTAGGCTTATGCTGGCTGGAAAAAGTTCTGGATACTTCAGGCTTTCTTTGGCAGACCTCTCTGGTGTTTATCCTGCAGTAGTATCTCAAAATCTACTGTAGAAAACCCAGACTATCCTAAGTGACCCTTCTGCACTCCTACATTCTTAAACTCTCCATAAATTAATCTTGCAAGTACCATTTATGATGAGTCATTAAGATATTTTCCATTTCAGGCATTTAAATATTTTAAGATCCAGAGGCTGGCTGGCATCAAGAGTTGAGTGCTTAAACTATCTCCTTCCACTCACTTCACTTACCCTGCACAGCTGACTGGTGCCTGCAAATACCTTCCTCCTTCCTAAAAGAGCATTTCCATCTGAACTGAGGAGGCTACTAAAGAAGCAGCTTCTGCTGCACTGCAACGTGAGCTGTGAAAATGGCAAACTTATCTATAATGTATTTCGATTATGAAATGATCTATGTGTATGTCAGACTGGTGGTGGTGTGAGAAGAAAACAAGAATAGATGTGTCCTGAGGGAACTGGGAGCTTCTGGCAGTGCCTGCAGGAGGATCACGGAAGAGCTGAGGCTGGAGTATCTTGGTACCTGGAAAGTTTTACCTGGAGAAGAAGCCCCATGTCAGGACGAGCCGGGCAGCAGCCAAAGAACAGATGGAAACGACAGCTCCTGCTCCCTGAATGCAGCTGCAGGGTTCCCACTTAAAAAATGGCAACAGGAACAGTGGCTGCTGAGAGAATGAAGCAGAGACAGAAACCAAGGACAAGTTGTTTGGGTTTGTGTAGACAAGGACAATGCTTAAAACCTCCAAATCGCGCATCTCAGCTGCTGCAGGAAGGAGAATGGTGAAGGACAAAGGCTAAACCTCGGGATGCACTTCTGCAGTTCAAGAACTTTACCTTTTGTTTTGGGTTTTTTTCCTTTCCAAGAGCCCACTGCCAGGGCTTGCTGAGTTTATGCATTAAATACAAGAGGCTTACCTGGAACACCAGAGTGCTCTTGAACCAAAATATATTCTCTAGACCAGGCCATATCAGGGCAGTTAAAAAGGCAAAAAAAAAAATTATTATTTTTTTAATCTTCAAGAAAATGTTTATTCTTTGTAAACCCCACAGAAAAAAAAAAGAATACGGCTCAAGTACTGAATGAAAACTGTGCTGAAGTAGGCAGCAAAATGGGGGAACCTCAACACAAAAAATCACTGACAGTATTTGATGTTTTGCACAGAGATGGAAAACTGATGACATTTCTGAGCAACACCTTGACGGTGACAGTTACACAGGATGATTCCAAATGCAAACGGCAGCAACAAGCACACCTGGCTAATGCGAGGAGTTTTGTTCCCAAAGAATATCTGTGATTAAAATGATGAAACTTTAATACTTCTGTGGAGTTGCACGTCCTACTCAATGTTTTTTAATGAGGCCTCCATGCCAATTAACACCAAATGCTTTTCCTTTAGGAAATTTGTCCTCCCAGAGTCCACTGCATGTTTGCAAAGCCCTATGTTGGGTTTGTAATGCTGGGAGTTACTAGTCCAATTTTGCTTCCCACGCCCCCAATCCCCACCCTCTAAACCCTTCAGAAGCTGCCAGGGCAAACACCTTCTATAATGTAGAAGTCAATTTGAACATAAATGTTTGTGCAATTTACAGGTTTCCTTCAAAACCCCTTGGCACAAGGGCTGAAAAATATTCAGCTCCACTTAAACTGTCAAAGACGAGGTGACAGAGAGTGTAAATCAGAGTTGAATAAAATAAAAAACCCAGAACTGCAGCTTTTATTAGCCAGCTTTACAGTCTCTTGTATACAGTACATTGCACAGCTCCGCCTTCACAATAACGCTTCCTGTATGAATATTGTGCCTTCCATGATGCAGTATAATCAAGGCGACTTACAGAACACTGCTGAGTTTATATCAAAATAAACAGAAGATGTAACCTTGGTTTATAATGAACATCCAAATTACCATGTACAATTTGCAGTAGACTCTGTAATGAGCTTTGATATATAAGCTAGATGACAGTGAAGGGGGAAAAAATAGTTTAAACTATCAAGTTTCCTCTTGAAATGTCTTTTCCCAAGGCACTGTGAACAAGACTGTTAGCAATTCTCAATGACTAAAAACACCAATGGGAATATAAATATTTCACACAACAACCACCGTCACATCATCAGCTATTCTCTTATTCTTTCCCTTAAACAACGCCCCTGAAATTTGTTTGGTCCTTTGAGGGGTAATCAAATTATCTTCTGCAACATCACATATTTGTATTCAATACATCTATAAATCAAAGCTTTGTTGGATTATTTAACCCTTTCACTGTAAAAACTAAAGGTTTTTTCCTCACTATTCCTGAACAAATCTGCAAATTCAACTTATTAAAAAAAAAACAACCCAAAAAGCAGAAAGGGTTCAAAATCAAGCAAAGCCCTGTGTTTTTCAAGAGGAAACCATGCAAGAGTACATAAAAAGGCAAAATTGGCTACTTGAAAACCAAGAATTGTTTTTAATGCATTGGCCAAGGAAAATAAATTGCAAAGTTCTGTGAGGTTTTCTAAAACTTTACAAGAAAAACCGATGGGCAGTTCTAGTCAATCCAGATGTTCTTTTATCCTGTTTTAAATGACAACAAATACAGTCTCACACAATACAACTTCATCTTGACTGCAAGAGACACTCCTGTGTGATGCCTTCAGCATGACAAAATTACTGGGCAAAAAGAAAATTGGCATTCATTTCTTCAAGGGCTGATAAACAGAGGCATTGGGGTCAAGTCCAGAAGGGCTGGTCTCCACAAATTTGGAAGAGTAATGTGGGGAAACCGGACTCAGAGTGCTGGTGGCTGCAGTGTATGTTATGCTGGGCATTACTGCCATGACTTCTGCAATCTTCTGTTTTAGGTCCTTGATTTCCTGATCTTTTTGAATTATTTGCCCTGAAAACAGCAAACAACATCACTTAGAACGCACAGTGTGTTCTCACCCTCCACCAACTGTTCATTAAGAGCTGTTGAAGCAAAACACCCAGGAGATATTCACCGCCTAACACAGCATCAGTAAAACACAACTTGTGTAACTCCTGCTTTGTGTTGAGGTGAATTACCTCTAGTTACCACGTCACACAACTTGACATAGCACTTCCATCAGATTTTGCACTGTTTGCATTCACTGCTACATCAATTATTTCTACAGCTCAACTTGGCTCTTTTCCATTCACCTTTTACAAGCACCTCACAAGAGCCATAGCATTTGCTTATGAGATGAGTTCTTCAACTGAACCCCCTTTGTGCAGACTCACATCATCACTACAGCAATTAATAAAACAAACACCAATGAAATGAAAAGATTTTCCTGCAGCCAAGCAAATTTCTGCTGGGAAATTAAACAGGGGCTAAATCAAAAGGTTATTTAATTTTATTTGATTTTGCTTCATTGGTTCCTAACCTGAGCAGGGAGTTATCGTCGGTTTCGTGCTCCCTCTGGTGGCTGCGGCACCAGTGTCGATGCTCACCTTAACCAGTGCCAGATTTAAAACTGCCTGGGTTATTTTGCTCCCCCAACATTTAGGCTGTATTTACTTCAAGAGTAGTAAAATACAATTAGGATTCAAGGAGAGGGGCTTAATAGATAGCAACTATTATTTACAGTCCAGCCCTTTAAAAGAAGCTCTCCAGCTTTGAGGTAATGGCTCATAAAAATGTAGAAAGCAATGATAAATTAAGTCAAACACCCATCTTGATGGCTTTTGGTTTCAGTTTAATAGCCTGGGCAATCAGGTCAGGTTCACATGGGCAGAGCCACAAAAGGCAAAACCCCACTGAAAGCTGAAATGCTGAGTGGGGGCTGTAGCTCACCCCTAAATAAAGAGGTAGGATATTCTTTCTGCTCTATTGTCATGCTTTCAGTCAGTACTGTGTATTGAATTAAACTATCCTGCCTTACCTTGGGCAATCTCAAGCTGCCGTTTTGCATCTCCTAATGCAGAGAACAGATCCAGCTTGATCCTTGTCTCTGCGCTCAGGCTGTTCTCTAAGTGCTGTGTTTTATCCTGCATGGCTGAAAGTGCTGACATTAACACCTCTGTATCCTTCTCATTCTCCTTGTACTTTCGCAGCTCCTGGAGGAGTAATTAGGACAAATGTTATTCTCATTGATTTCACACGTGAGATATACCAAGAAGTCTTTCTCTTCCCCACAGCACACCACTGAGCCTGGGATTAATACTGTAAAATTAAAATGATGGTTAATTAAGGACACTGTAATATTACATCCAGTAATTATACACGACCATCACAAGTGATTAAAGCCATATTGTACAACACATAAATAGTGCAGCGAGCAAGGACCATTTACTCTGCCTCTCAGCCCTCTCTCATCTGTATCAAGAGCCCCCACGGAGGAGCCCTCCTCAGCCCTTCCAAGTGCCAGCCAAGCAGCCAGGCAGCCCTCAGCCAAGCTGTGGAATGTGACAACACTTTCCACAGCAAAATGGCCACAGTGGGGACTGATGCCTTGCTGAAGAGTTTAAAGTGATACTAAAGAAGCACTTAAAGCTACTTCAATTGGCCGATGAAAGGGATTTCTAGGGTTTCTTTATCTCGGAATACTTCCCACATTGAACCCAGCTGTGCTGCAACCCCAGAAATTTGGAAAAAGGAAATGGAGGGAGCGAGGATTCTGCACACAAGAGTCAGGCACCGTGTGGCTGGGAAGTATGCCTGAAAATTTTGACTCAGAAAGAAACAGTACCTCTTTAGGAACAGACAATTTAAAGGAATAAGGTCAGCTTCAGCTCACACATCGGAGCTCTTAAACTTGAATGTGCAAGACAACGCATCTGCTACGAGTCCAGCACAATGTACTTTCAACAGTCAAGCAATATCAGGAAAAAACAAAACATGTCTGGCCAGCGATTAAGACTGCATAAAGTAAGCAATCTTGCTTGCTAGCAGTGAAATGTAAAGCGATGCAGACTGGCAACAAGCTCCTCACATTAGATGAAAACTCTTGAGGGGATTTACATTCTCAGTCTACCCAGACCATTGGTCTGGGGGAAAAGATTCTAATAATTTAAACAATGGAATGGTGTGGAGCTGAGACAACCTCTCTCATACCCATCTTCTTGCAAACAAGTGTCTTGATGCAAGACATGCAAGACAGACATCTGAAGAACATAATTCTTGAAGGTGTTGATTGCCTCCATCAGTTTCCAAGGGCTGAAAGCACTCACTCCTTGTGATGCTGATCTAAGCCCCTGGTGCTTTCTCATTACCTGAACTTTCAGTTCTAGTTCTCGTATCTGATCTTCTTTCAGCTTTATGTCAATTGTTAGCTTCTTGCACTCTGTCTCCAGCTCCCGGATACGGTTCCGTAAAGTTTCAGTACATTCTCCTCTGCAGAAAAAACATCGAGATGCTGAAGCAAGTCCTCCCACTGCCTTAACACAAGTAGACCTCTTAAACCAGATCAAGCTTCCTAATAAAGAAATAAATAGACTACTCTTTTATGTACAGAACAGTGAAAAATGCCGCCCCAAATCCCCCCAAAGCACATCTCAGGGATATTCTGGAGCTGAGCTTGGTCTGGGATAGAACAAAGTACCTTGTAGCAGCAGCAAATGCCACAGCACGTGCAGCAGTTGCTTCTTCCAACTTCTTTCTTTTCTTTTCTTCCATTAACTGTTTTTCTACAAAGGCTCGTGCCTCCTGCTCTGCCTTCAGCTTCTTCTCCAACTGGCTGATCATTTGTTTGTCTTTTTGTTTCATTTGTACAGCATTGTGTAATCTGGAAGGTAACAGGTACAGGATTTAACGGAGGATTTCACCTACTGAAAATAAATTGCTGTCAGTGGTCCCGCGTGAGCCTTGCTGGATTTGCCAGCAAATTTCATAGAGACTTAACACAGCAGCACTGACTTAGTGTAGGAGCACCTACTTGTTCTGAAGCAGCTCATTTTCCTGGCGGAGCTGCCCGATCTCGGACCGAATCCCCCGCTCTGTGTTGGTCAGAGAACTGATCTGACTGCGGAGCTCCTGCTCGATCTGCCTGCTCGCCTGCAGGTCAGCCTTTAACTTCTTAATATCTTGTTCCAACCTAAGACAGACAATTTGAAGGGACAATTTCAACTTTATTTCCCAATTACCCAAAGGTTCACGCATGTTATATAAAAATCACAGAGCGAACATCGCACCATCTGCCAACCCCCCAGCCCTTCAGACTTAAAATACTCAACTCTCAGGAATTATGTTTATCCTTGCTAAATAATAATGTTTTATGTAACGTTACGTATATAGCTCTATTATAGTGATACACACGCTTCGTATCCTCCCACAGGAATTTGTTTTGCACTGCAGAATCCCAGAACAAGAATTATGGAATTACATTTTTCCTCTAAGCCTGAGAGGCTGTAACCAAGGCCAGATGCACACCTGAACAAATTCTACTTTTTCTCACCAAATCAGGGTTTCATTTGTGAGCTACAGCCGATCACGCTGCCGAATTCCCACCTAAATGTGGTTTGCTCCTTGAAGCACATGATGTGCACGGTGAACAACCAGGATGTGTCAAGTCATCCACAGTTCAGGAGTCAGTAAATTTATTTTTAATTGTTCCTGAACAGGAGCCATCTGCTATACATTTAACTGTAGCTTTAGAAAGTTCCTCAAGACTCATGTGAGCTTATTATCAAACCTGGTTAAAATAAGCCCCAAGTCGCTGAAGAGAGGCACGCAGCTCCCCTGAAATATTTCCCCACACTTTAAAGTATTCCCCAAACGTATTTCAAAATGTGTTTCTTCTTGGAATAAAAGCATGTCTCAGGTAAATAATAATCATTTTTATAAGCACAGTCACATACTTATTTAAAAGCAAATATGCCTCTCAGTCACTCACACAATCTCATTTGTGCCATCAAATTGTCATTGATTCAAAGTTTCTAAATGTTCATAAAGAAAATAAAGATGCTTTTCCTTCCTAAAGTTCCACACAGAATTAGTGGCAGTTGAACATTAGGACGTGGGGAGAATTGTCACAAGAGCCCAAATGAACAGCCCTTACTGACATTCACTAGTGCAGGTGAACTGTTGGAGCTTTATGTCCTCAGAATGAAAACACTTCACTCCTCTGGGCTTCAGTGCAGGAAAATCTTAACCTAAAATGCTACTGAGAGAGCTGTAACAATATGAGGTACAAGAACATCCTGTGTGAATTAACCAAGAGGTTAAATGAGGAATCATCAGACTTCTGGAAGTCCATAAAAGCATATCTGTAATAGGCTAAAACTGCACTGAAGAGGTCTACTGGGTAAATTAACAGCAAGAAACAGCCTATAAAGGATCAGATCCCACTTTCTATAGCTGTACTAAGTTGTCTTTCTAGTTATACTTAAACTGCCCCACTGATAAAATGAATTTCTTTTACTATAGTAGAAACTGTGGTCAAATGTACTTTTAAATAGAAAAAAAACCCCACCCCACCGAACTTAGAAGGCAAATAGTAACGGCACAAAGCAAATACACATTTCAGATGGAAGACCACAAATCATTTCAACACCTTGAAATGTTCTGTTGTAGGACGAAAAGAATTTGCAAACCTAACCAAATATTCCTTCCAGCATGTAACCACAGCACACAAACTAAAAATGGAAAAGCCATCAGCAGATGTTATTAGGCACGTATCCTCCCAGTGTTCAGTATGTTAAGTGATGGAGCTGGAGACTTGCTGGACAATGATATAACAGTTCAATTTGATTTTCCAATAAATAGTAACTCAGGATTTTAGAAAGAGCAAACTCAGTAATTGAAGAGAGTAAGATGCTGTAGGAAGCATTAAACTGTTGTAAGGCAACAGCTGACTGGTTTTAATACAGGTTTTCATAAATAGGTGAAAATATGGTTGGAAGGACAACATAAAGGAATGCACAGAAATCACACACACACACTTTACATTGACATTTATCCACAGACTGCAACATGCATGTCCATAATAAAGTGATAACTGTGAAAGTAAGACAGCTGTAAATATCCTTTCCCCTATAACTATGCCAAAATGCTCAAATAAGATACCAGCATTTATTTTGGGTATTTAGTATTCCAGGAAAAGAAGAACTGATCAGGTGAAGCTCAAATAAATCAAGAGGTGCTGGCACAGGACCAACTGAATTTGTGTTTCTGGCAACAAAGCATTGACATTAGTTCCAACTTCTGAAGCCATCTGGTTTATGGCATTCCTGCAGTTCCCAGAAGGGCTCTGCACCCACAGTGCTCATGGGGCTGGTCCAGGCTGTGCTGTAAAGAGAGCTGAACCCTGCAGGTTCCAGAGAGCACACACAAACACGAGCAGAGAGGATGCTGCTTGCCAAACCAGGGGAAATATGAGGCCACAGCCTTCCTTTTCACTCAGCCTGGGTAAAAGTGTCCAACCAAAACTGTGTACATTAAATCTGTGAGAACTGGGATCAAGAAGTGTTACACACTCGTTCATCACTCAAATCCTGCCTGAACACTTAACAAAAACCCCATGGATGTCCTTCTGCCTTTACTTTTCAAGCATGCTCCAAGAATCAGATGTTCACCTTTTTGCAGGATTAAACTCAACAATAATTGCTTAAACCCTGGGTGCTTCCACCATTTATGAAAACCCAGCAGCCACACTGCTAGAACGCATCCAGGCAGCCCAGGCACCAAGAGACAATGACTGCCTATGAGCAGCCAGCACTGCCCACCTGCAACCCTAACTCAGTACATGCTGCAGAGGAGCTGCTGCTTCTCAGAAACTGCTAGCAGGTGTAAAGTGGGACCTGTATACCCTGTGTGCCCATTAAAACACAAAGACTCTCCAATTTACCAGCCACTACAAACGAGCTCACAGTGGGCTCAGCAGTTCAAAGGCGGCAACTGCACTGCTTCAACTTACCCTAATCAATGGATTCTGGGCTTCCATGCACCCCAATTTTTCACAGCACCTCGCAGTCAAGAGTCTTTATTCTGTTGTGAAACAGAAATAAAATCTCTCCTATCAGTACAGATAACCTAACTTGAACAGAATAACAGATGTGTCAATCAAATGCATGATCAATCTATGCGAATGACCAGCTACTGTAGTGCAACTCCAAAGGGGCAGAAGAGAACTAACAAAGGAAACTCATCTCTTTCTAGTCAGTGGCAGACAAAAACATTGGAAATGTATCTGGCAATGGGCTTGGTTAGAAATACATCTTAAAGTAAGGTTTTACCAGATTTTAATTAATCCTTTTCATTATGCTGTAGTTTTCACTACAGCTTTAAATACCAAAGCAGCTGTTTTCTACAATTTAGAGAGCAAATAAATGCTCCTCACTATCTGAAATGAGTTAGGAAGCTAATAATCCATCATAATGGAAGGACCAACTGTTTCCTTACATTTTCTCTCCCAGATCTGCCACAATTAGCTAGATACAAAACTTCATTAAGAAAACCAAACCACATGAAGTTAATTCCCCCTCAAAACCACATGTACTCCTTGCATCCTCCACTGTGTAACCGTGTTCTTATCAGTCAAACATTTTCAGCCTAAACATGTCACTCTGCGGAACAGCAAGCCAAAGCTCTGCTCTGCAGAGAGAGGGGTCATCCATCATTCTCCCCAGAAATAGAAGAAGATGAAGAACACCCCTTCTGCTACCTGCTTTCTAAATTGGAAGCACATCATCAAGGTAAAGCAATGCAATGCCATAAAGAAAGCTGTGCTGCTACAAGCACGAAACAGTGTGTGAGCTGCCCCTCCTGTAACAGTCTGCACCACTATTGCAATGATAAATGACCCAAGAAGACAGCATTTTTTAAATTATTACTATTCTTTCTACCATTTCATTTTCTGCTTAAGTCTCTTATTTCCAGGCTTATTGGGAAAGTTATTTACAAAGTGGGGGTGAAGCAAACCAGAGTTCTAGAAGATGCTTTATTGCTGCACAAACTACAAATCATTTTGACATAAAACTATTTTTCAGATGAGGGTTTAGCTGCAGATTATTACATTGTGCTGTTTACACAACCAAGGCCAATTTTTCTTTGCAGTTTGCCATTACTATAAATGCAGATTTACCCATTTTCTTTTCTCAGCAGTACCTCACATCATTCCTGATCTTGCTGATGAAGAGAATTCATCAGTAATCACCTCCAAGACTAAGTATTTTTCCAAATGCTTCAGGGAAATGGATGGATCAACTTAAAGACAACTCAATTCAGCTTAATGCTCCTAAGTATTGATGACTGGTGAATAACATACCTTGTTGCTTGGTTACTCATTCAGCTAACTCAATTCCATAATCACCTGGCAATTGTGCACAAATTAAAACACAGTTTATAGAGAAATTAAAGTGTTCAAAGCCCCAGAAGGCCTCGGATGCTTTTCTAAGAGACCCATGTTCTTCCTTGGCTGTGTTCTGGCCCACTCTCTTGGCATATGCATCCCCTGCAGTGAACCTAACTTCTCTAAGTAGCCAATGTGATCCCACAGCACTGAGGTTCTCCTGCTGTAACTAACAGGCTGATACTAGCAGTTTCTCAGAGCACTTCTCATTACCAAAACGACAGTAATCCACACAGAGAAAGCCAAGTTACTTTTCTCTTCCACAGAAGTGATCTAAGCAGGCGGCATTTCAGAAGGTTTTTCTGTTTCTGAACAGTCCAAGCACTATGTTGGCAGTGGCTTGAAAATGGTCTGCGAGAAGGATCAGTGCCATGATTTCTAACTTACATTCCTAACTCTTTTTCTTCTCTGCTCTATACTTCCCATCACTCCCATCATATCACATGAAATGCTGACCCCCACAGAAGCTGACAGCAAAAAGCCTGGAACCCTAATGCCATTTCAGGCAAGGGGGATAAGGAAGCAAGCAGCAGCCTTAGGACATCAACAGTGCCACAAAAGATGTACAATTATTAGTATCAAATGGAGATAAATTTACATGAAAACCTTCAAGTCTGTCTCTGCAGGTAACATCAGATTGTGGGTAGACCAGCTCTTGCTTTGCAGAGATTTTCCTTAGTCCAACTGCCAGAAGATGTCATTGTTATCTCCGAGAATAATTAGTACATGAGACAGGTTGTTTCCTCGTGTGCCAACAGCAGGACATCTCTGGATACAAACAGCTTTGCCAAGCTGCACTGCCAGGTTTTTGACTGTGGCTTTTTGTGCCTTTTTGGGTTTAAGAGTGCAAATAGCTAGAGGCAGGAAACGCTGTGTAATATGCAACACACACAAAGTCTGCAGTGATTCCAGCTTGGACTTGTTCTATATATCAAACCCCTAAACCATGAACAAAACCTGCTGTGCCTCAGAAGTGACAGTGCAACAGCAACAAGAAGTCAATCTGCACTGTACCTACTGACAAACAGCATGAAGTATTATGAGATACCACGCTCATCCCTCTGCTAGATCCCAAAGTATTCCTCTTGGCTCAGTTACCAGTGCTGGGAAATGAAGAGCTCAGATCAGAGATTCAATTACCAAGTTCTTGACAAACCAACAGTAGATTTCAGCATCCACTGGAAGTACACACTTACTTCAATGGTAGGAACATACCCCTAAGAGGTTACTTTTAAGGCTGATCAGCAGGGACACAGTCTCTTAAATCACTCTATCAATTGAGATGACAGTAACACAAGCTTCACTGAAACATCCAAAGACGGGGAGCAGCAACTTCCTCTCCTCTGCGCACTAACCATTTACCAGACACAGCAAGAAGAAAACCTCAACTGTTTCAAATAAGAGTAATATTGTATATATAAAACATTACCTTAATCAGCAGTACCATTTCAGATACAAAGTGTCACATCAAGTAGCTAAGAGAAGTTTAGCAGCATGCAATACTGTCTTGCTCCCGAATAACCCCTGTTAAGCCGAGTCTCCAGCAGTCCTAAAGCATACTTTACATTTAATACGGGTTAGTCAGCCCAGGGAAGTCATTTGTGAACACAAAAGGAAAGCAGCTTGGTTTTGACATCCTGCTGCGAGTCTGCTGGACAAGAAGTTATAAAAAGCCTCTTTATTTGGAAGCTGAGCAGATCTGATCTGAAAGTCAAGACACAGAGGCAAGAGTCCACACAGCCCTTTTCAGGCTTCAGCACTGATGCAGACTAAAAGTTTAATAACAGGAATGAGTAATACTACTGGAAGTGGAAAAGATGATGAACAAATCACTCCTTACACTCCAGGGACAGGATAACTGACAAGCTTTGAAAAATAAACATGAATTTTTAAATTTAAGTGCATTCCACCCCATCCAATTTGTCAGGTAAGTTTATGCTTCCATTGTGTAGGAGTTACATACTCAATCTGAATAGAAACTGCATTTCAAGAATGATTTCAGTCATCTCGTTTGTAAGAAACTGTGAGCAGCGACACACAGGATGTTGGTGTTTTAAGTGCTCCTGGCTTGCCTGCACAGGGAAATCAATGTTCAATGAGCAGCTACAGGAATTACTAACACAACAGCCACATCACACCCACACATCACAGAGAAACACTTGACAAACAAATACTGAAGTAGCTTAATTCTCCTTCCGGGCAGAGTAAGGCTACCTTGCACAAAGGCACACTCAGAGTATGCTAATGTGTACTCTGCCCCTACCCAGTGAATTAGAGGAGTAAGAACACTGTAAGGGCACAATCTAGTTTATTGCATACCCACTTCTGCATTAGAAAACCTGCTTTGGACAATGACCATGATGACTTGGAGCAAGCTGGCATCACAGCATATAAAAATTTCAATGTGTAATGTAAAACATATGAGGTTTAAATCTCATTTCTTGTCATAGCTACATGGGACAAAAGCCTGAGTCTTCTCTTTTCTCAGCACTTAGGAATTAAGTTTTAAACTGCAGCAAAGCTGAACTGACCTGTTTTCTTCAGTGAGCAAGTAACATAAGGAGCACAGAGATGCCCATCTGAAACTGGCAACATACAAATACAGCAGTCCTCTACAGGCTTCTTAAGATGCAGCTTTGCTGAAGAGACAGCCATCTGTATCCCATTAACCTTAGCTGAATGCGATTCACAGATTAGATCGATTAGCTGGTTTCTCATTTTCTTCATACAAGCTCTCTCTAGACATTAGGTATCAATTAGCCTGGATATGTAACTGGCAGAGGTACACCAAGCAGTGACAGAGTGATTAGCAGAGGAGAAAAATAACATTTTCATCGAAGTAATTGTATTCACACAGCATAAATCCTCAGAGACACACCAGAGTCAAAACTCCTATTACCAAAAGGAACCCACAGGGCCAACGAACCCAATCTGCCAATTAAGTTGGCCAACAAGGGGTTGAACACAAGAGTTCAGCATGTGAGAAAAGGAGAAAGACAGACATAAGCCAGGAAGGGTAAGAAAGTGCATATCCATGTAACAGCTTTGTTCTAGATGTATCTCTATCCCCAGTCCAAACACTTCCTCCCTTTTTCTTACAAGTACTTGTTCTGGTAACAGGACAGCACCGTATGTCTTCACTTATACCCTGCAAGTACTTAGCTGCATTTCACAAATACATCTTCACTGAAACTTCAGACAAGCACATGTAAAGATGTGACTTGTTCAATCTTTGTAGTTTACAAGGCAGCTAAATTAAATCCTTTGGACCTGTTTTTAAACCAGTAAGGCAGCAGATCTGCAAGCAAGAAGCTGAACTTCGAACTTTAAGGGCTTGCACAGTAGCTCATCCTTACTTGTGAATTGAAGCTTAAAACAAAAGCCCAACATTTTGGGCTTTTCAGGGGAAAACCAAAACAAAAAAGTAAGACAAAACAACCTGTTCAGGCACCATCAAACCCCACTGAACTCCATGGAGATTTAAAGGTCACTCCATGGAAAGTTTGTCAGGAACACATCCACTGAGCTCTGTTATCGTGATTCTCCACATTTCTCTCATGCCTTCTATGAAGCGACTGTCAAGCTATTGATTGTGCCCCACAGCACCCCTGTGAGGTAGGCAAGTACTGTGTACTGAGGTAGAAAGGAAGCAATTTGCTCAAGGCTGCAGAGTAAACCAGAGGCAAAAATCAGGAACAGAACCCGAAAGGCCTAGTTCCTAGTTAACTTCTTCCATCACTAGACAATTCTGTTGTGTTCATGGGATCATATTTTCCTATGGAAAAAAAGCTCCGATGTACTGGAGAGAAGGGAGGGTAAGACAGGCTGTTACACAATGTTCAGATCAAACTTACCTTACCAGTGCATCTGGTTTGCTTAGCTGGTTATTAGGAATACAGTTTTCCATTAAGTCCTTGTGTGTGCTTGGGCTCTTGCTGGCACACTTCTGCTTTTTCTCATTCTTAGCAGATGAGGAGGGGATGCTCCCATTCGTTGCACTGTGGCTGCGAGGTGAGGAGTTCACCACTCCACTGACGTTTTTGTAATTTTTGGATGAGGCAGTGCATGAGTCCTCTTTTAAGAGGTTTTCTGTACTTCCCACAAGATCATTATTTAATCTTTTACTATTGATATGGTTTTCCATATATTCAATTTCTTGTATTTTAGAGTCTACAGGTTGCAAAATATTGTTATTTATCCCAAGGTTGTGTTTCTTCGCATCCTTGTCCTTTTCTTTCCCTTTTTCTCTATATTCTAGCTCTGGCAACGTTGCAGATAATTTTTTATTGGCTGGAATGCCTCCATTGTGCTGCAATAGTATCGAGGAATCCATATCAGATAATCCTTTGGCTGCTGCAATACCAAAACAAACAAAAAATATACTTAGTTCATTAAATCAATCAATATTGTGACAGACAAAGAAACATCATTAGCTACATATCAATCCTTCTGCAGAAAGCAATCAGTATTAGGGTCTATCTAGAAAAGCAAATCAGAAGTCACATGATAACTTAAGACTTTTTTTATCATTACTGGCAGGAAACAGGGACTGAATAATAAATACTCATGCTTCATGAAGCACTGACTAGATTGATGCAGTTGCTAATGAAGAACTAAACAGAAGACATAATTCATTTCCACTGCCATACTAACCACTGCCAAAACCATTTCATTTCTGGCTCCTCTGTTTCCAAGTTCACTGTACTTCCAGCAAAACAATGTGGACTAACAAAGCTTTTCCTTAGCAGGCTTTTTAAATAGCAGATAAAGCAAACACATTAAGTAATAAGTATAACTTGCCTTCCTCTGCCTCCCTCTCTTGCCTTTGTAGCATCTGCTGTTCTGGGGGCAGAGCTTGCTGGAGAAGCTGCATGTAGAACTCATTCTCTTTCTGCACTTCTTTTTGTTTTCTTAAACGCATTTTGTAGCTGACGTAACTTTTAAAGCCAAAGCCCAAAGTCACAACAGGGTAGCCAATACTAGGAAAAAAGCAACGTTATCATTCAAAATGTAAGCATAATAGCAAATTAATAAACCATCATTAATAGTAATAGATTATATAGCTGAGAATACATCTAAATGACAACTTTGCCCAGAAAATTATACATAAAATGGTTTTTGCTGTACCACAGTTAACAGTTTAAAAATGTAGGCACCTCTTTATTGAGATAAAATTACAGTTCATTGCAGACAACAATTAAGTGTAGCACAAATTAAAGGATTATGACAATGCAATGGCACTACTCAAAGACAGCTTTTAGACAAGCACCAGACTAAGAATCATGCATCTTCTGAGGAGGTAAGAGCCAAATACAGCAGAAGTTCCCAAGTTTTTTTCCTAAAGGGCAATGTAATATATAAGACATTAAAGTGGGAGATGTGTTAGCAACATCCATCCAGAACAGTGGAAGGAGAAACTGACCCTTGGCTTCATCCTTTTGCATTCAGAAATTAAGAGCACATCCCTTTTCCAGCACTCTTTAAAACTGAGACAAAATACCACCTCTGCAACTGGCCCTGTGACCTCTTCTCACTGCAGCACAGGCTGACAAACGAGAGTTGGAGAAGCCACTGGAACATACAGCTTTGGGGCTGCCATGTTCTTTAAGGGGACAAAAGCTGTGAGCCAAAGTGCCACCACCCACCCTGGGAGAGCTAGAAATGACCCTGGAGGTGAAGCCTCAGTAATCACCTCCCTGCTGCTGGCCACAATTAAGAGATCTGTGGGCAACAAATGGCCTTCAGAAATTCCTGTTTATGGGATTGACCTTGAAGTGGAAACATCCCATCCCTAAACTTGGTTCTTCCACTGATCTTACTGACAGACACAACATGAAAACTTCCCTTCCAGCCAGATTCTGCTCTTCCATTTGCTGATGGGGATGACAGAAGCGTTACAGAACTTGGGAATTATTTCCTTGCACATCAGCTTCATCACGCAGGATTTGAGTATCACCTTGTGACAAGTGCACCAGCACAGAATGCCAACAAACCCTGCTGGAGTATTTATTAACACGGATACTCCATCAGCGAGCTAACATCCCTGAATCAAAATAAATAGATCTTTGACAAGTATTTTAACAAAACAGTGGAGTTGCATTTTAAACACTGAAGGTATCCTCGATCAGGGGAGAACTCGGATGCAGATGACTATTAACCGTCACAGTCTTCTCATTCTTTGCTCAGTAACAGCAACACTGTGCAAATTGCATGTCTAAGTAAGCTGCCAGAATGCAAGAATCATTTGCATATGCATCTGACATTATCTCTGCCAAGGCTTCTTTTGTAATGCTGTGTAAAGACAGCTGTAGCTACAGTGCTAAAACTCTGATGACAAGCTGAAACGTTTGCATCCAATTCAGCAGCAGAAAGACCTTTCTTCACAGTTCCTAAAGTGCTTTTGTAGCCTATTACAGAATTTTATTAGTGTTTAAGGGACTTATTGCACAATGTAGACAATATAAATGGACAGATGTATAATTTATTAGAGGCTGTATCACAGGGAACTGGACCAAATGACTCCAAGAAAAACAGGACACATTTTAAACGTAGCCCAATCAATGGATACTACACCAAAAACCTGTGGAATAAGAGAACATTTCTTCCAGATAGGAATACTCTGCAGCTGAGTCTTTTGCCTGAAGTCACTCTTATCACTTCCAAAGAAGTGATACAATTAAGTAGTGGTTGTCTTGTTTTCTGTCATGACTTTCAACCTGCAGCTTATTCACTTCCTCTTGTGAATTATGAAATCACTCATGAGAGCCCGTCTTGTTGGAGGGGAAAAAGAGGAGTGCTTTGTTACAGAAAAAGAGGATGATTTTTTGGTAATGGTATACATAAATTATCAGTGAAACTACTTTGCTACTTTTACCATCTATTCATTATGTGAATACAAAATTTGTAACCTGATGCCAGGTAACACTAGGGATATCCACGCTACAAGTTCCCTACAGCTCACAAGCACTGTATCTTCAGATAGGTTGTACTTGGTTATTGCTTAGCATGCATTTCTCATGGACTATTTAATGACAGATGTGTGAGGGGAGAACTGAACAGCCAAGCCATAAACCAATATAAGAAAGCCTTAAATATTAATTCCTCTGGTGAACTAAAGGTAAGGAGAACAAGAAAACACTCACCAGTGTGCTGCAAATGGACGACAAAGGTCTACATGGAAATTTTTTAGATCTTTAAATCTAATGGCTGCTTCGATATAAACAAAAAGTATCCACAGTGATACTGTTGGCAAGCACACACCCCTCTCTATTGACAGAAGAAAGAGAGAAAAACACCTCAGTAATATATTACAAGCAGCAAATCAAGCTATTTTTAAAACATTCCAAAAGTCAAGGGGAATTTTCAGACAGACTTACAGGGGATTGCAAGAGGTTTTGTTCAGAATAAAGTATCAAGGATGTCTTTCTTTTGACCCAAATCTAAACTTTCATCTCCTTATCCTGCTTTATTACTTTGAGAAGACATCAGTGAAAAATAACAGATGCACAGCTAATGAAATAGCTTGGCACAAAACCCTACCCAGAGAAAGAACACAAATGGAAGGAACTGCACAAGATGAGGTAATGTTACAGCTTATGATCTTTGAGTCAGAAGTGGTAAGCTTGGACTACTTTCTCACTCCAAGTTAGGTATATCTTGGTAGCAGCAGTGAGCAAATCAGCTGAGAAAACAGGAGTGAGTAAGTACAATACTGGTCACTCCATATACAGACAGTCTGCAACTCAAAACCCTACACGAGGGGGTTGTTCAAGATGCTCTATTGGTTTTTCTCTCCAGCACTACTGGAGAGAATGGAAAGTGGCAGCCAAGCAAGCAAAGGTATTCAACATCCTGGCCACTGGAAAACACCACTTTTACTTGCAATATAGCCACTGTGAATCCCCACAAACCTATCCCAGTTACATGCCACAAGCTTCATAGAGCTAAACAAAGGTCTTGATTACATACATATGTGTGACTTACATGAACATTTAAAGAGAAGCAGTGAATTAAAATATTAAACAAGCTCAATAGCTACAGCTCAAACTGGCCCATCATGGTTCTCCTTTAGGGTTTTTTAGCATTAAGGCTGAGAACAACATCAGATAGTGCTTTAACATGTGAATGCAATCCCAAAAATAGCTCCAGATTGTCTATGTACTTTAATTGGGCAGCACCTGGTTCCCAGCATCTTCCATTAGCTCCCACACTGTCATTATGATAAATTACTAACTTGTCAGAAAGATGACTGCTTTCACCCGCCAGCTGAGAAATGATGCTGCAAATTCTCAGGATCTGATGGCAAGTCTAGCATAAAATATTACAAAGGCCTCAAATCCCAACGACTTGGGTAGTGAGAAATTACCTCTAAAAAAAGTTTTATTCCTAAAATGTTTTGACTGTGTGAAAGACAGGCACAGAACCCATGTCAAGTGTTACTGCTCAGGGAAACTAAACCACCTCCCGCTGATGCCAGCTGCTGCCCCAGAACCTAAGGATTTATTAAAACAAAGCCAAACAAGTAAGGATTAAATAAAAAGGGCACTGGGGAAGAAGACTTCTCCATACAGGTGCCAAACTGCTGGGGCAGACACCAGCCTTTTTGCTCAGAAGCCGGATCCAGCTGACAGAAAGATTTGACTAATATGAACTGAAACTATGGTAATACAAACTGAACAGCACACCAGTGGAAGATGGGAGGAACATAACTCTGTGCCACAAGCTTTTCCTGTGTCTGTGCTCTGTGTTTGTTGAATTGCTGCAGAATGGTTTTGAAGTTAGGAAAATATTTGTTTTACTGCTCTGGAATTGCTGTTCATGCACCTTCAGTCCCACTGCTCGGGCATTCCCGATTACAAGATACACCCAGTATATCAAGTGCAACTGAGCATATTAACGAATGAACCTTTTTTAACAAAACTGCATTAAAACAAATGTGGTAACGAACAGAAAAGGGGTTTTGCATGTTACTAAAAGCTGCAAGATATATATTCAAATCAATGAAGAAGAATGACCTACCTGTGTGCCAGACATACTGTACCCAAACATAGGTGCTGGCAGCAAAAAACAGCCATTGTATTGGTATGAAGAGCAGACATATTATATTTGACGTGAATGCTACACAAACAAAAAATACTGAAAAGGCCTAGAAGAAAGGAGGGGTGGGGGAAAGAAGAGTGCTTTGTTTATTTCAGCAAATATTACCAGCTTATTGATGCTGACACCACAATGACTTCAACACAGAAACACTAATGCTGCTTCTAACCAGGGCAAAGAAATAGAGTAGTGCAGCCAATGAAAGCAGAAACTTGGCTGATTAAGAGAGAACAGGTACAACGTGAAAATTTGTGCCCATCCACTCTTCCAGCAAGACTCCAAATAGCTACATTTACTGCTTGAAGACTTTCATCTACACTGTTGATATAACATTATCATCACTGTATTCTCCTTCTGGAAAAAAAAACCACCAACCCAACCCAACCAACTAGCACGGTCATTTACTCTCTGAAAGAGCAGGAAAGACCTAAACAGTTAAGGGCTTCTGTTTTATTTTGAAGAAAACCCCGTTCAGGATCTAAACCAATTCACTAACCTCAGGAATTCAAACAGTATTTTCCTATGGTGAACATTTGCTAGCTACGGATTTCACCTCCACTTGCCACAGACAAAGCAGGGAGGCAGAGAGGAGAGGCTTGAGCCCAGGGCACTTAAGTCACCTGAAAATTCCTCCATTTGTGAAGAGGTTCATCAGTGTCATGCAGCCAGTTGTCTAACCCTGAACCTGTGCAGGATTTCCCTACAGAGGGAACGTGTGTTATACTTACCAAACCCTGGTATCTGAAGGAATCGTAAACACTCCTGATGAAGAGCCAGAATGGCCACAGATACTCAAATCTGAACTCCAGGACAAAATCTGCCAACAGTACCAGGGCCCACACTACCAGGAACTTCAGATACAGGAAAGTACTGGGGGAGGGGGAGAAAGAAAAGGTAATTTCAAGTCAGTATTTGCAATAAAGAGACCTAGTTCAAGAATAAAAACTATAGACAACTATAACAGACAAGAAAGCTTCATCCAAAGTAATTTACAACACAGTAGGTTTATTATTATTCTATTAAAACCAGGCCTGGTCTAATGAAGCTAATTCTATTCAACTGCATTTGTGTTAAAGTAGCAAAGCAACAGAGAGAGCTCGCTGCCCTTGCAGACATGCAGGATCACCTCCCTCAGCTCTGCAGGGCAGTTTTACACAGGCACAGGTATGGCTTCACAGCTGAAGCGATGCTCTTCCACTTTGCACTCTTGTACTGGGAGCTCGGAAATGTCTGTGTTCCTGCTCCTCAGACTGCAGATGTTGGCTCATTTTCCACATTTAACACAGAAACTGCAACACCAATAAACTGAGATGTATTTCAGGCCTATAACTATAGCAATTAGGAAGACTGGCTTGATTCCGAGTTGTCAGTGTTATGTTTGAAAACATCCATATTAAATTAAATATAAAATAAAACCACAACAGAAAAATGAAGACACGTGAGACCAGACAGTCTAACTTCTATTTTTTACTTATTTGAAAGCACATTTCCCTTATTCTTTGTCCTGCATTTTGAACCATTCATGACCCTTCTTGGCTAGAGCTCCAAATATTTTGAGACCATATCTAACACAGGAGCACTTGAGGGATCAGCCCGATCCATTCTGCTGATAAGGAGGAAGCTCCCTCAAATCCCAGCACCCACAGATGTAGTACGTTACTCCAGCTCCCCAGGATGCAACTACCTTGTTGCACTCTGTTGGGCTATAGCAAAGGTGGGGTTTTTCAAACCTATCTTTTAAATCAAGGGCAGTTTTTCCTTTTAGCTGCTTCTTTTTCCTCCTCTATCACATGCCAACAGCACCAGCAGAACTTTGCCCTGGCTGTCTACTGGTCAGCTGCCAGGAGTTTGCATGCACAGTGCCAGGTAGAGTCGAGTTTCTGCACTGCTCATGAACACGTGGCTTTTTTAGGAAGCTCTTCAGAGAAGACACAAAACAAAAACCTTCTATCAACAGTGTCAGGTACCAGCAGAGGTTTGGAGGCAACGGAACTACTCCTGCAATTATCACTCACGTTGTCACACAAGGTCAACTCCCAAACCACACAACTGGGAGAGCACTTTGATTTCTTGTGAGCAAAGACTGACTCTGTGTGCCTGAAAGTGTCCTTCATTGACTGGCCTGGCTGTGCTGCCTCCCCAGGGGAAGAGTTCTTGCCTGGCTTTGCTGCTGACCGCATGTTATCAGGCTCCCCCTCAAAAGTCCAATGCCAGGCTTTGCACTGTGAAAGGATTTGCTCCCATGGAACTACTCACACAAACATACTCACATGAGTTCATGCTTTAAATGTACTCGCACAAGTTCATGCTTTTAAATCAGCACAAACTAAGAGAAAACTTCATAGAAAATACATTTTGAAGACTGTGACAAATAAGCAACTATTCCACATGTGACCCACCTCAGCCTCCCCCCACTCACCTGGCTGAACGTTCTGAATCTGGATTTTAACATAATGGGACCTGGGGGGAAGATCCTGCTTTTTACAGAACCATCCCAGCCACTCAGTCAAAACATCCTCTTTGAGGAGAGCAAAACTACAGTACAAGTATTAAAAGAAACTAAACCCAACCCACAACAAAACCCAAACCAACCCCACCAAAACACCTTAAATGGTCACATTTGTCCTAGTAGATTATGCTTCCATACACTGCTCGTCTCTAGTTATATAAAGATCTGCAGCACGAGTCTGTCAAAAGCAGCCACATTCAGGGAATACTCAGGCACAAAAGGTGGCTGACACGTGGGGATATAGTCACCACTGTGCTCAGCTTGACCACGCTGTCAATTCTACACGTGCAGCTCTTCAGGGCTGAGAAAAATACACAGAGGCACCACAACCAGGCAGTCCTGATGCTGCCTGTTTGGCTGGAAAATCAGTTGTGTTGTGTAGGCACTTATTCCTGGGCTAAGTTTATGGTTACTGTTGATTTTTCTGCCACTGAAACCTATAAAGAGCCTACATTTTCCCCAGCAAATTAGGTTGTCAGAACTAACACTTTCCAACTGTTAAGTGCCACTCTAAGTTAAAGCATTTGCTGAATCAGAGTTCTGCGATACAGTCATTACAGTGACTTCTAATATTAAATTTGCATCAATCCAAAGGCCATGGTGATATTTACCACCTTTTAAAGTGGAGTTGTTACAGTACAACAATGGTAATAAGGTTTTTCAAAGAATATTAAAGAGCCTATTCCTCCGTCACCTGAAGAACTCAAAAGCAATGAAGGTTTTTATAAGTACAAGACTAAGACACAAGAAAGTTAGTTCTTTTACAAGACTCTTCCACTTAGGTTGGCCTCAGCAACAACTTTCACTGTTGTGTAATATATCCTACATGTATGTTCAGCTGCTGAGTCCACATGCACTCAAAGAAACCATCAGGAGGGTACTATACCCCATCAATGGCTTTTTCACATGAGGACCTGCTGCCCTCCAGTTAAAGCCTGCAGGGCTGCAGAGCAGAGCTGCACGCTCAGCCCAGCTTTAGAAAGGGATACTGGTAGCAGCCTCCAGACATCAGCTCTCTCCTCGAAATGGGCCGGGTTTACATTGTGCTGGCACAGTCACACACAGAGCTCTGCCGGCGCCGCACACTGCGGCTTGAGTTGGCAGTGAGGCTTTGTAGTAGGCAGAAACACGGATCTGTGCTTACCCTTCTTGCACAGAGGTGTGCTGCACACCGGGGTTTGCTGCTCCTGCCCAGCACATAGTTTATCAGTTACCTTGCAAGTGCTTAGTGAACAGACTGCTTTGTATGAACACCCAAATTAGCCATAGCTGAGAAGCCTCCAGTGAGAGCTACACCCGGAGCAGGCTGAGGACGTCTCCTTTGGACAGGCTCATCACTCCTCTGTGGTTTGTTCCAAACGACACACACCATTCACATCACACCACGTGAATGAAATGACTAACAGAACTGAGCAGTAGCCCTCCTCCCTCCCTCTGCTTTGTACTAGCCCTGTTACTTCATCTTTGCTCCTCAATCTATTAATCCCTTCCAGATTTCCTCCTCCCCTTCAGTGTATCTCTACTGCTACCTGCTCCCCACACACTTCTCTGGAATCCAGCACCAGCCATCTGGTGCCCATGAACGTCTGGCAGTCATTGATCTTTCTGGGCACATCCACCCAGTCCTCCAATTTTGATAGCTGCTGTGTCAGTATCCTCACTTAAAGATAATATTCACCAGGCAAAGTGCTCTCTAACCTCTGGATCCCTTTTATTAGAAAGGCTCAAATATATTCCATGATGCCAATTAGAATTCCGAGTTTGTTCTCAATACAGTAAGTACCTAAAATCTGGGTTATCTCATGTTCTGACAGACGTCAGGAAACTCTGACTTCAGCGAGCTGACAGGTTTAAGAAGGACAGGGCCTTCCCTATACAACTGGCACATGGCATCTACTCTCATGGGGTACCAGAAGATGAGGGGAAGGATGGCCACATTCACATGAGCAGGGCACTGCACAGGTAGGAGCAGTGACCACAGTGCTGGAAATCCTGTGAAACCTCAATGGATTCCTAATGCAGACTGAATAGAAACATTTATTCCTAACCCCACGTGGCTGTGCTACCCCTTTGAATTTGCAAACATACAATTTTCCTCCATATTCTCCCCCCCTTCAAGTGCCAGATGCCATTTCCTCCCCCCCCCCCCTTGTTCTTTGTTACTGTTCTTTGTTCTCTTTTTCCTGCCCCACAGAAACAGACCTTGTGCTTGCTACAAGGTAAAAATAGTTTTAAAAATCACTAGGAAAAAAAAAACAACCAATTATGAACCCAAGTCCTATCTGGTAGCAAATTAAGCTTCTATTCTATCCCTCTGTTATCAGCAAGTCCCTAAGGCTGGAAAGTGAATCTTGGCAGAACTGATGGCATGTTTCATTGTGCAGCCTGGCTCACACAAGACAATAGAGCGGAAGGATCCTGAGGCTGGCAGGGCACCAAACACAGAAAGGTGAACTTTAACATGCCATGGAATTACCAAACAGTCACCACCTCTAGGTTATCCATTCAGTGCCAGACAGAACACTGGGGATGCTCACTGGAGACTTTCAAGCAAAAAAGCTTTGTATATGTAAACATACACACACACACACACACACTCATATATATATGCAAGATTATTACTAGTGGGGAAGAAAAGTGCTACAGAATGAACACAGCAAATATGCAAGAGAGAAACCATGGTTGCTGGAACGTGGTATGCACACTGGAAATCACTGTGTGAAATCTGAAATGTAAAGAATCCCAGGAAACCTCCCTGACTACTGATTCAGTGTCTTGATACGGCAAAGAACACAGTAATCACTGAAGTATGGAAATGTAAGCAAAGGAAGACAAAACAGAAAATTCTTACAGTAATTCTGGAAGCAAGTGCAATAGAGACTGCTGAACCACAGGCAGCTAAGCAGCAATCAGTATTGTAGTACTGAAACAAGAGCATTGTGAGCCCACTGTGGTAACTCAGCTGAAAACACCACTCCAGAACAAGTAAAATAAAGCGAAAGGAACTGCAGCGTGCAGGGAATGAAAGTCACTGGCAGAGGGAAGCAATATTATATGTGCCGTCGGGGTTGACATAGTAGAACACATTTAAATGTAAGCTAAATTAGATTTGAGACCTGAATTTACGTAATAAAAAATAGCACTACTGGTTCGTTACAGACCTCCAGGTCAGGTTGAGAAGAAAATGGTTTTCCCCATATAGGAAGCTTATAAAAAAAGTGTCAGAATAGATCAGTAGGAAGGATCCTTATGGATTTGCGGGTTTCATTGTTTTTAAGAAAAAGCCTAAAAAAAGGCCACATTCCTGGAGCTAGTAATGAACAGGTTTTCCTTACAGTTTATTTGGCTGTCAGCAGAGTCCAGAACCAAGTCCTTGGAAATGAGCCATATCAGAGGGTAGGGGACACAAAGAACCACAGGATCCCTTAGCAAGGGAACGCTGCCCAGCACGAGATGCCCAGGGGCACCCACTGCCTTCATGCCAACAGCAGGTACCTCAGTAACCACAGCCACATCCTCCCACTTGGCTGCCAGCCCAGGTGAGGCCTGGGATAAAGGGCAATACATATATAGCTCTAAAAAAAAAAATCCTAATTCTAAAGGAACATGCAGTGTTCAAGGACTGTTGTCAAGAAATCCAGGATACACAGCAGAAGACAGCAGATATGGCACCATAAATTAAGCCACTAACATGTGGAGTTCATCTTGAAACTGAGCTAGCTACACAATTGGTACCAAGTGCCAATAGGACTCGGTAAAGCCCAAACAAGCTAGCAGCAACAAAGCTGAAGGGTTTTAAATAATGAAGGATGAGGACTAGGAAGACTTAGAAACAAGCACCAACAAGTAAACTTTAATTGCCTAACTGCTGACAAGCTGCAATGAATATTTTCATTAATTTTTTAATGCATGCAGTGTCAAAGGTAGATGTTCATCGCTCAAACATCGGAAAACAATGGCAACTTACAGCTTAAAACCTGAAAAGGCAAAAAGGTTGTGAACACACAGTGGAATAACAAGAGATCTCAATTCCTACCCCCAGTTTGTTGGGTTTGGAACTCTACTGAAAGCACAGATATGTTTTAATTATAGTAACGTTCTTTCCACAGATACTGCAATACTTTTAAATAGCACAAGTCCTTACCATGCTTGCACATAATGTTAGACTGGGGTTTGTTGGGTTTTTTGGGTAGAGGTGGCAACAGTCACTTGAAATGGTGCTACTACATCACAGGCAGCCAGGGCCTCAGCAGCAGAACACACGAGCAAAGCCCCAAGGAGCTGGAGATGGGGAGTAAAACTAAACTGGAAGGGAAGGCAGAACGCAGAAGGAAGGAAAACCAGCAGCATGGAAAAAGCAGTCTAAAGGAGAACAGGATAGTGAGACTGCTGTTGAAAATCTGGTGGGGAAGATTGGTCAGGAATAACTTTGAAAGTGTTTCTGAAGGCCTGAGACAAAACAGCTCATTTGATTTAGGAAGTGAATGCTGGGGAAAGGGCTTTAAAGACCTACAGCTGTAACATTTCAGATAGGAAAGGCTGTGAACCCTTAGATCAACTTGTTAGAAATGATACTCCAGACAATGGCAAAATCACTTATTCAGGGAGATGCAATATTCACGTATTTCAGTGCAAGCCTGGATATTACATTTCTAACTCTGTTCTGTGACTAGAAGCTCTTTCCTATTGCTTCTTACACTCTGCTTCAGATTTACACACGTAGCAAACCTGCCACCAGAGCTTTACTGCAGGCCAATGCCTTCATTGCTTCACCTGCTCCAAAACTCTTCAGCTTTGCAGCTCCCAACTGCACTCACACACGTCTGTTACAGCTCTGCACTGAAAGCCTGGGGAGGGAGCAAGGATAGGAACATCTGCCTTAAAAAGCAAACAGAAACCCCACCAGAGTTAAGTATCTCAATCATGCTGTTTGTTCAAGCCCAGCTGCTTGGTTGTAACACTATGATGCTACCTACTGATTGTTCTGTTTACTGGGTTTGTGTAAGCTGATGGTGACAATTAGGATAAGTTGAGTAAATAACTGCAGCAATTACAAAACTTAGAAATCTAGAGTTATACCAGAAGCTACCTGGTGTAACTTCCTTGAATTATGAGAGGCAAAGAGGAAAAAAGTAATAAAGCCCAAAACTAAAAAAGGAGAGCAAAAGAAACAAGGAAAAGAGTCACAATCCATGTAAACCCATGTAGAAGCACTTCTCTCTGCTCGTACTTCCAAAGAGGAAAGCCTTCCACTAGCTTCTCTTTTCTTTCTGGGGGACAATACTTTGAGGTCACTGACTACTTCTGCTGATCCAAATGCCACGTGAAACAAAGGCTAAAATCCCGCTTCTGAACTAAGCATTCCAGAAGTTAGCACAAGCAGCCAGACGTGTCTCTAGGCTGTTCACAGAGCTACAACAGCTCTCCACACTGAACACACTGATCACCCGGTGTCCTCCTCATCTTTTCCTGGTTTTCCCTCCTCTTCTCCCACCTTTCCAACCAGTCGCCTCAAAGGTAACAGGGAGCACAGGATTTTGAATGACTTTGGAAAACTAAGTAATTATAAAAGGAATTGCTTATATTTTCATTATTTTCCCAAGTTCACTCATCTTAAATATTAACTTCTAAGCAATGGTTGCTTTTTCTTTGACATTCCAAGCACCCTTTTCTCAAAACCCAGGAGTCTAAAGCAACAGCAGACTCTACTCTACTCTCACGTGGAGATTCACTACAAGTAGCATAAGCAGTATATTGTGACAGGTTTGTTACAGCCAGAGCCCACTATCATCCATTTCCATATGCAAATCTGCATTATATGAGTTTGCTCAAGTTTCCAGCCACTGCATATATAAACGAGGAACAGAAATGGGACATCACAGTGTAACTTTGGAAAGCCTCTACTAAACCAACCTCCTCTTCATTCAAAAATACACAATTACTCCATTTCATGTAAAACTTGGCATACTCAAGAGGCAGAGCTCTAAAACACCCTTTGAATACACTCACAACAAGTAAATGCTTCAGAATCTCTGTTTCGGTGCATTCTGCATGTAAACACCTGGAAAGCATGCCCTTATTCCAAACCATCCATGGCCAAGAACACGGATCTCGTTTTACTACAGCTCCCCTCCTCGTTTCGTAGGTCAGAGGAGACTCAGACACCGGCTGCGTTTCCAGCACCCGTGCTGCAGGATCCCCCACACCGGATCCTGCTCGCATCCCTCGCTCTCACCGCGGAGACCACAGCACAAGGACCGCGGCCACCACGTGAGAACGGAGTTTCCCGACCCGAGCGGCAGCGCCTCGAGGAGCGCTCCCCCGGCACACGGGCCACGGGAGGGGGATGTGAAGGCTCCCACCAGCTGCGGGCCGCTCCCTCCGGCCGCGCCGGCAGGACCTTGGCCAGCAGCTTCCCCCCCGCCTCTCCCCGGCCCCGGCGGAGCGCGGCGCTGGCTGGGGGGCGGCGGGGGCCGGCGCGGGCAGGCCGCGGGGCGGGGCAAAGCCGGGGAGCGGAGGGGGGGGGGGGGGGAACGGGGCGCCATGGCGCGCGTGGCCCCGCTGACAGGGCCGGGGGGCGGGGCGCCGCTGAGGGGACGGGGGCGCGAGGGGACCGGGGCGGCGCGTCCTTCCTCCCCCCCCGCCCCCCTTCCCCGTCCTCTCCTGTCCTCCCACCGCCGCCCCGCTCGGTACCTGCCGTAGATGCCCTCGGTGATGCGGTTCCGCTTGAGCGGCCGCCGCAGCTTGCTGCAGTCCGCGCTCCGCCGCTTCATCCTCCCGGCCGCCTGCGGCCCGGCCCGGCCGGCCCCGCCGCGCGCCCCGGCCCCGCGCTGCCCGGTCACGGCAGCACCATCCGCCCCCGCGGGGGTCCCTCTCGCGGGCGCCTCTCCGGTTTTCCCTCTTTTTCCCCCTTTTTTTCCCCGCGAAACAAAGAAATAACAATAATTCCTGGTCAGACCCTCCCCGCCGCGTCCCCCGCGCAGCCGCCGCGCAGCGCCCCGCCCGCCCCGCCGCGGACCAATCCAGCGCTTCACCGCGCCGGAAAGACGGCGAGCTTCACCAATGGGCATTGGGGAAAGGGAGATGGACAGCCGGGGAGGCCAATGGCGACATCGGAGGATAGGTTCCGCCCCTCGCTATGGAGCGGCCCGCCCACACCCCTGATTGAAGGCCTTGGAAGCCCGTGGAAGAGAGGGACCCGTGAATTGATGGCTCCTGAGCCAATCCCGGAGGGGGCTTTGAAGCGGAAGAAGGAGGGTTCGAGTCCCTCTGTCACCGTACGCTGAGGTGCCGCCCCTCACACTTGATTGACAACCCCGCTGTCAAATGGGCTGCCGCGAAAGCCAGCTCTCAAGTGCAAAGGTAACGGGGGGCGGCTCGGCGCGGCCCCGTGCTGCCGGCTCACCGCGGGGGAAAACACCCCTCGGAGTGACTGACGGACCACTCTAGCCAATGAAGGACGCGTGCAACGGAGTGACAAGAGACCGGCCCAATCGCGAGGCAAGAAGCGGAGAGGGGCGGGGCGACTTGGCCTCCCTTTCTCTGATCGGCCCAAAGACGGACGGTGGCTGGCGATGAGCCAATCAGAGGCCATGAGGGGTGTCAGCCTTCGGCCAATGGGAAGCTAGTCCCTAAGGGAGGCCTGTTGGGCGGGGCAGGTGTCAGCCAATGGGAGGTGAGGGGCGGGGTGCGAGGGTCCCGCCGCCGTGGGCTGCCGAGTCACGGCGGGGCTCCGCCCTCTCTCCGCGCCTCAGCCGCCGGCTCCGGGGCTGGGTCCCGGCTTCGGGGCTCCTTCCCCGGGGCCGCTCGGCGGAGCCCCCGCCCCGAGCCCTGTCCCGCGTCCCTTTGGGCTGTGGAAACCGTGAGGAAGCCAATGGCTGTCCCCCGATCCCGCGGAGGCCGCCAAAGCGG